AATCCTTCCGAAACCGATGGGTTTGACGGTTTTCGGCATACGCGCGCGACGACGCGCGCGTCTGCACTTCGTCCCATTTTTTGCAGAGGATTCTCGCGACGGCACACGCGCAGGGGCGTTCGACAGATTTCGACATGCGCGCGCGCGCAACCCGTCTGGTAGTGTTTTGTGAAAATCTTGAAAAGCTATTTAAAATTTTAAAGATTTCGCAAGAGCTCGCGCGTAAGCTTTTTTAGCAAATTAGTGTTGCGAAACCCTTGTGAAGGTTTGCGAAATCCTGAAAGGTTTTTGAAGGATTCCGGCAGGCGCGCGCGACGACGCGCGCGTGTGCACTTCGCCAACTTTTTTGCAAGGGATTTGCGAAGAAGTGTTATGTTAGAATTTCACATGGCACCGCATAGTGTTTTTACAAGGGAACCTCAGGGGGGGGAACCCGGTTGGCCTTGGTCATTGTGATTTCATATTTAGGATGGACATGTGGTCATAATCATATGTGATCTACATATCCGGAAGGGGTAGCGATAACTCTTGGCTGGGGGGGGGGGGGTAGAGTCTATTCTCCTTGAAAGGAGAATTGACTACCCTGCACCGCGCCTGACCACCTCCACTGCTCGCGCAAGCATCCCACCCACCCACCCGCAACTTGGTTTGCAAATTCTCTTCGTGGTGTAAGCTATGTGGTGCAGCTATGGTGCAGCTATGTAAGCTTCGTGGTGTTAGGTGGTACGACTTTCGTGGTGTCAGCTATGTGGTGCAATGGACTACTCTGCGCCGCGCTTGACCACCTCCACTGCTCGCGCAAGCATCCCACCCACCCACCCGCAACTTGGTTTGCAACATCTCTTGGGACCGTGGCGGTGGGTACCAAATGGCACTTGGCAACGACAGCGACGCCGACGACGACAGCGACAACGACGACGACGACGACGACGCCGCCGACAACGACCACGACGACACCGACGACGTCTCCAACGACTGCGACGACGCCGACAACGACGACGACACCGACGACGACGACGCCGACGCCGACGACGACGACGACGACGATGACAACGACGACGACGCCGCCGACAACGACTACGACGACACCGACGACGTCTCCAACGACTGCGACGACGCCGGCAACGACGATGACGACGACACCGACGACGACGACGCCGACGCCGACGACGACGACGACGACGATGACAACGACGACGACGATGACGACGCTGACGTCGACGACAACGACGACACCGACGACGACGACGACGACGACGTCAACGACGCCGACGACGACGACGACGACGACGACGACGACGACGACGGCGGCAACGACGACGACGCAAGAGCGCGCGCGCACGTTTTTGTTGAAAATCCGTGTTGCGAAACCTGGTGTTTTTGTATGTTTTTTGGACACGAGTTTGAAATCCTTCCGAAACCGATGGGTTTTGAAGGATTTCGGCATACGCGCGCGACGACGCGCGCGTCGGCACTTCGTCTCATTTTTTGCTGAGGATTCGCGCGACGGCACACGCGCAAGGGCGTTCGACAGATTTCGACATGCACTCGCGCGAAGCCCGTCTGGTAGTGTTTTGTGAAAATCTTGAAAAGCCGATGGTTGTCTTAAGATTTCGTGAGAGCTCGCGCGTAAGCTTTTTTAGCAAATCCGTGTTGCGAAACCCTGTGTTTTTTGTAAGTTTTTTTGGAAACTCGATTGCGAAATCCTTCCGGCACCGAACGTTTTTGAGGGATTTCGGCAAGCGCGCGACGACGCGCGCGTGTGCACGTCGTCAACTTTTTTGCAAGGGATTCGTGACAACTTTTGATTTTTGATAAACGAGTGTGCGCGCATAGTATCTTTTGCAGAGGATGGCAGGGGGGGGCCGATACCGGTTCCCCTGGGATTGTGCACGCCCCCCACGCCCCGTTCTCGACCCTCCTGGAACTCTACCGGCGCAGCCCCGTCATCCAGAGCTCCGCCCCGGCTTGCCCCTGGCTTCTAGACTTTTAGGGGCGCCCCTGTCTTCTAGAATTTTACCGGCGCCTCCCCTCCGTGGTCGGTCGGTCCGTTGGTCGGTCGTCGTCGTCGGTTGTGTTCGTCGTCGGTCGTCGGTGGTCGTCGGTCGTCGGTCGTCGTCGCCGGTCGGTCGGTCGGTCGGTCCGTGCCCGCTGTGTGGTCGATCGGTCGCGGGGCGATCGGTCGGTCGGTCGTCGGTCGTCCGTCCTCGATCGTCGGTCGTCGGGCGATCGGTCGCTCGTCGGTCGTCGGTCGTCAAAGTCGTCGGTCGTCGGTTGTTCCGTCGGCGGGCGTCGGTGGGTTGGTCGTCGGTCGTCGGTCATCGGTCGTCGGTCCTCGGTCGACCGGTCGGTCGGTCGTAGGTCGGTCGGTCGTCGATCGCGCGTCGTCGGTCGTCGGTCGTCGTCGGTCGTCGGTCGTCGGCCGTCGGACTCGGTCGTCGGTCGTCGGTCGTCCGCGCTCGGTCCTCGGTCCTCGGTCCTCGGTCGTCGGTCGTCGGTCGGTCGGTCGTCGTTCGTCGGTCGTCGGTCGGCGGTCGTCGGTCGTCCGTCGTCCGTCGTATGTCGTCGGTCGTCGTCGCTCGGTCTTCGGTCGTCGGTCGTCGGTCGTCGTCGGTCGGTTGTTACATGTTCGTCGGTCGTCACTCGTCGGTCGATCGGTCGGTCGGTCGCCGGTCGTTCGGTTGTCGGTCGTCGGTCGTCGTGCGTCGGTCGGTCGCCGGTCGGTTGTCGGTCGTCGGTTGTCCGTCGCATGTCGTCGGTCGTCGGTTGTCCTTGCTCGGTTGTCGGTCGTCGGTCGTCGGTCGTCGGTTGTCGGTTGTCGGTCGTCGGTCGTCGGTCGTCGGTCGGTCGGTTGGTCGTCGGTCGTCGGCCGTCGGTCGTCGGTCGTCGGTCGACCGGTCGATGGAACTCCGGCCAATAATGCTGTTCTTACGCGCCGAGAGGGTTGCCCTACCTTCACAGTTCTTCGGGAAAAGTAGAAAGGGTCCTATGCGTGCATGGGTCCTTTGGAAAGTACTGAAACACGAGCGGCCGAGGGTCGCCGCGGGACGGGCCGGGTGGCCGCCGCGCATGCGCGCGCGTCTCTGCCCCCCCCCCCGCGTTCGCTCCCCCCCCGCGCCCCATCTCCCCGCGTCCCCGGGGGGGGGGGGGGCTCGCTCAAAAGTACGGCGCGGCTCTTTCGGAGGGGTCTACTCAAACGTATGATTTGGGGAAGTCAGGGGCGGATCGTACTTTTGAGCGCATGTCTTTAAAAAGTACAATCGGGAAATTGTACTTTCGAGTGGGGGGGGGGGGGGGAAGGGGCTCAAGAGCAGAGCCGGGGGCCGATGGCCCGGGCCGTCGGACGCGTCGGGCGCGGGCGTCGCCGCGCGACCATTCCGGCGAGCCACCGGGCGATGCGCCCAAAAGTGCACCCAAAAGTACACTCAAAGGGCTCGTGAGACCACAGGGCCCTTTCTTCTATTTTCCCTTAAATCAGAGCGTGAATTACCTACCCCGCTTTCGCTTCCAGGCAAAACCGAGTCATACCACGCGCCTCCTCGTCAAGCGGCCTGACCAGTACTGGCCGTAGTTTGGCATCGCTTGGTATCTCTTGGAAGCGAGGGTGGTCAAAAGCGAGGAAGGTTTGTTTTCCCCCTATGAAAACATATTGCGACAGCCGCCCTTGATGCCCGTGATGCCCGGCCTTGATGCCTCTGGAGGTTGCGGGGGGGCAGGGACATCTGTTGATGAGTCGTGGAACGGTAGATTGAACAGGTCGACTTGGCGCCGTTTTGGTTCTGTGGGCGTCTTCTTGGGGTCTTTTGCGACAGATGTTGACATGCCACGGTTATGTCATCGGGGAGGGCGAGTGGAGGAAGGGGGAAGGGGGAGGGAGGGGGAAGGAAAGGGGAGGGAGGGGGGGATGCGGGGGCGGGGGAGGGGGGGGAAGGGGGGGTGGTGGGGGAACGGAGGTGGGGAGGGGTGCGTGGGTGGGGGAGGGGCGGGGGGGAGGGGGGTGGGGCGGGGGGTAGGGGGCGGGGGGAAGAGATTGTTGGTGGGGAGAAAGCGGGGGTGGTTGGGGGGCGGCGGGTGGGAGGGAAGGGCGGGTGGGGGGGGGGGGGGGGGAGGGGGTGTAGGAGGAGGAAGGAAGGCCGGGAGGAGGAGGAGGGGGAGGAGGAGGGGGAGGAAAAGGAGGAGGAGGAGGAGGAGGAGGAGGAAAAGGCAGGGGAGGAGGAGGAGGAGGCGGAAGAGGAGGAGACACCTGTCTTTGAGGTATGTTGTTGTGAGAGGCTATTGAAGGACGACGATGGCCATCTGAGAGGCGCTCTTAGGGCCCCCGTGGGCCTTTTGGCGCCCTCTTGGGGGCTCTTTGTTGGAATCTTGGGGCCCTCTTGTGGCTCCTTGGAGGGTCTGGGAGGCCTCTTGGGACATCTTGGCCCCGATGAGTCAAAAAGGGGGGATCCTCAATTCAGGTCCCCGCTCCCCCCAGGGGCTCAAACAGGGCGTCTCGGGACCCCTCAGGGGAGCTCTTGGGGCGTTCTTGGGCGGCCTTGTGGCCCTCTCGGGGCCCCCTCTTGGGCGGCACCTCTTGGGGCTCTGTTGGGCTGTCTTGGGGCCATCTTGAGGCCTCCGAGGCCCATCGGAAGCGGAAGGGCGAGACGGCAAGCATCATACATTTGGCCTCGGTTTCGGAGCCGTTGTTGCCCCTTGGGGGGGTCCTTGGAGGGCTTGGAGGGCACTTGGAACCGTTTTGGGGCCGTCTTGAGGTTTTTTGGATGTGCGTCGGAGGCTATCTTGAGCCATCTTGGAGGCCATCTTGGGGTCTCTGGCGCCCTCCTGGAGCCATATTGGGCGATCTTGGGGGCTGTAGCGTCTCGCGCCCCCCCCCTCCCAGGCCCAGGGGAGGGGTAGAGAAACGGGTGAACCCTTCCCCGCGCAGGGGAAGGAGGGGTTTAGAGAGAGAGAGAGAGAGAGAGAGAAAGAGAGAAAGAAATAGAAATATAACGAGAAAGGGAAAGAGAAGAGACACAATCCGTTGAACCACCTACGCCCAGAGGGCTTGGTAGGATTCGTGGAGCTTCATGCATCCAGGTTCAGGCATCCCGGTTCAAGCAGACTTGGTGCAGCTTCCATTTTGTCCGTAATCAAATCACACACGCACACACGCGAAAACACTTGGCTTGCGGGTCCTTCCTTTCTGTTCCGTGGGATGGCGGTCCAGAAGGCACCTTGGACCGTGTGGTCCGTGGTTGCAGTCGTCCTCAGCATCAGCGCACCCACTGTGACCTCGATCGGTGTGAGTTCCACGCCGAAATGTGCAGATGACGACGCCCAAATTATTGCGCTGGCAAGCGGCATCGGCGTCACTATCAGTGGTTGTGCTGCGGTGCAGCCTTATTGCGAAGATGCGAAGTACGGCAGCACCGTGAAAGCGACCTGCCCTGCAACGTGTGGCCTCTGCAGGGTGGCCAGCCCCGGCAGCTCCCATGCGGCTGAGGTGCTGATGGACAGGAGCTCCAGGGGCTCCCGGGACGCGGATGATCAACGGTCCTTGGACAGGGCTCTGGCAGCGAAAGGGCCCGACCCGACGCCGAGGCCGACGCCGTGGCCGACGCCGTGGCCGACGCGGTGGCCGACGCCGAGGCCGACGCCGTGGCCGACGCCGTGGCCGACGCGGTACCCGACGCCGAGGCCGACGCCCTGGCCGACGCCGAGGCCGACGCCGTATCCGACGCCGAAGCCGACGCCGTGGCCGACGCCGAACCCGACGCCGTACCCGACGCCGAAGCCGACGCCGAACCCGACGCCGAACCCGACGCCGTACCCGACGCCGAAGCCGACGCCGAACCCGACGCCGAACCCGACGCCGTACCCGACGCCGAAGCCCACGCCGAATCCGACGCCGAACCCGACGCCGTACCCGACGCCGAACCCGACGCCGAACCCGACGCCGTACCCGACGCCGTACCCCACGGCCTTCCCGACGCCGTACCCGACGGCGTACCCGACGCCGTACCCCACGGCCTTCCCGACGCCGTACCCCACGGCCTTCCCGACGCCGTACCCGACGGCCCTTCCCCGAAGGCCCAGGGGTACCCGACAGCCTTCCCCGACGCCCTTCCCAACAGCTTTCCCCGACGCTTCTACCCGACGCCGAACCCGACGCCGTTCCCGACCCCTAGCCCGACGCCCAGCCCGACATATCCTCTGGGTTGGCCGACGCCACAACCAACGTTTCTTCCCGCAGCTCCTATGGCGGGTGGAGCTGCTGGAGGCGTGGCTGCCACCGGCGATCCCCACCTTCAGAATGTTCACGGCGAGCGGTTCGATTTAATGCAGGCGGGCAAACATGTTCTGATAAACATCCCTCGCGGAGTGAGCGCTGAAGACGCATTGCTTCGTGTGCAGGCCGATGCGCGCCGCTTGGGTGGAAGTTGTTCGGATATGTATTTCCAAGAACTGAACATTACAGGCTCTTGGGCAGAGGCTAAGCAAGTTGGAGGGTACCACTACGACGTACGGCAAAGCGTTAGGACGAGTCCGCAATGGGTTGCTATTGGCCCGGTAGAGCTGAAAGTCGTCCATGGACGTACAGAGAGTGGCACCTTGTATTTGAATGTGTTTGTGAAGCATTTGGGGCGATCAGGGTTTACCGTCGGAGGTTTGCTGGGGGAAGACGACCACAAGGACGCGATGACTCCCCCGGCGTCTTGTACCAAACACATTCCTCTGCTAGAAGCAGTGGCGAGTGGCCAGGTTCCTTCCTCCGAGTCGTCGGTTGCAGCCGGCCCAAACCTTTCCGCGTGACCATCTGGATACTTTTGTTGAAATGTGGGTATATGATGACAAGTACGCCCATTCGGGTGACGCATGCGGGTAGTGGTTTTCACTGCTCCATAGAAAAAAAGAAAATAAGAAACCCCTAGTGTCAAGCACTGCTTGAGGAAGAGGCCCCTCTAAAAACATTCGCGGATGCAGGACTGACCCCTTGGTGCCATCTAAGAGCGTGATGGAAGTGTGGCTTTCAGGACGAACGCCCCCGAGGCCTTACGGAAAAAAGTCACGGGGCATCCTAACGTCCTTTCCCCCAAGCCTTCCAGTCCCCCCTCTCTGCCCTTCCTTTTCGCCCCCCCCCCCTCTCTCCTTTCAGGAGGACGTAGGCCGCACGGCCCAGGAGAGGAAGCCTCGGCCGTCCCTCATTGGTTTTGCGGTCCGCATGTGTCCACACTTGCGCACATGCCTCACGTGAAGGCTCTTCCCGTTTTGGCCTGGTGAGGTTGTTCTGCCGCCCTCGATGAGGCCGCCACAGGACCCGCGCTGGAGCAGAAGGTACAGGCAAGAATGTTGCATTCCATACGTGGCGTTGTCGCGGCGGCGGTGGTCCTTCCGCCGTTCGGAAACACGGCGCCAATACAATGCCCCCTTTCGGCAGCCGCACCCCCCGCCCCAAGGATGCCTTAGCCCTGGCCTTGCCATTCCACTCCCGTGCTGTCGGAGATTTGGGGGCGAGCCCGAAGTGCAACGTGAGATGCACCAACCGGGACATCGTTTCGTTTCGTGCGTGACGTGCGTGTGCTACAGTATAACCGGGGCAGTGGGTGTGGACATCCGAAGCGCAGTGTGTTCGGCCAGCCACTGCACCACATAGTGCAACCATCCCTCACACAAATCCTCCTGTTATTCGGCATTGGACCATGTGGCGGCGTAGGGAGAAAACCTTTCCGAGCCTGTAGTTAGAGGCTAGGGCCAAGTCAGACAAATGAGTCGCCCCACGCGGTGGCCGTGGTGTGAAAGTTGTCCCGCTGGTTGTTCGGATGGTTATCCCGACAGTTGTCCGGACGGTTGTCCCCCCGATGGTTGTCCCCCCGATGGTTGTTCCGATGGTTGCCCCGATGATTTTCCCGATAGTTGTCCCGATGGTTGTCCCGACGCTTGCCCCAGCAGTGTTTCCGATGGTTGTTCCGATGGTTGCCGCGATGGTTGTCCCGATGGTCGCCCCGATGGTTATCTCGATGGTTGCCCCGTTGGTTGTCCCGCTGGTTTTCCCGATGGGCGTTCTGGTGGTCCTGTGGCCCAATGGTTGTCCCGGATGCTTGTGCCTATGGTTGTCCCGATGGGCGTCTTCATCGTTGTCCCGATGGTTGCCCTGATGGTTTCCCAACCCTCCTGTGTTGGGTTCTCGTTTCGGATACAGCAGTGCGGTCGCGACCTCCTCCTTCCTCTCTGCTCCTGCTTCCTCCCCGCCTTTTGCTTCCTACCTCGCCGTCCTGTCTGGGGGCTCGCCGGTGCAGTCGGCGTAGTTCAATTTATGTGGTGCACTCTATGTGGTGTTAGCTACGTGGTGCAATCTATGTGGTGCAATCTCTGTGGCACAGTCTATGAGGTGCAATTGATTTTTACCCATGATGTGACATATCCCACGCTCTTGCAAACATCCCACACACCCACCCGCAACTTGGTTTGCAGAGCCTCTTAAGACCGACTACGACGACACCGACGACAACGACTACGACGACACCGACGACGTCTCCGACGACTTCGACGACGACAACGACGCCGACGCCGACGACGACGAAGACTACGACGACGACGCCAACGAAGACGACGACGAGGGAGGAGGAAGGACGACGACGGCGACAACGACGACAACGACGAGGGAGGAGGGAGCACGGCGACGACGCGAACGACGAAGAAGGAGGAAGGACGGCGACGCCGACGACGACAACGACGAGGGAGGAGGGAAGACGACGACGACAACGACGACGACGACGACGACGACGAAATAGGAGGGACGACGACGACGACGACGACGACGGCGACGAAATAGGAGGACGACGACGAGACGCCGACGGGAGGACGACGACGAGAGGAGGAGGAAGACGACCACGGCGACAACGACGACGGAAACGACCACGACGCCAAAGAGGACGACGACGACGAACACGAGGAAAGACAGAGGACGACGTAGGCGACGACGACGCCGACGACGCGGGAGGAGGGAGGACGGCGACGACGGCGACGACGACGACGACGCAAGAGCGCGCGCGCGCACGTTTTTGTTGAAAATCCGTGTTGCGAAACCTTGTGTTTTCGTAGGTTTTTGGGACACGCGATTTTGAAATCCTTCCGAAATCGATGGGTTTTGACGGTTTTCGGCATACGCGCGCGACGACGCGCGCGTCTGCACTTCGTCCCATTTTTTGCAGAGGATTCTCGCGACGGCACACGCGCAAGGGCGTTCGACAGATTTCGACATGCGCGCGCGCGAAGCCCGTCTGGTAGTGTTTTGTGAAAATCTTGAAAAGGCTATTTAAAAACATTTAACAGATTTCGCAAGAGCTCGCGCGTAAGCTTTCTTAGCAAATCAGTGTTGCGAAACCCTTTGAAGGTTTTTGAAGGATTCCGGCAGGCGCGCGCGACGACGCGCGCGTGTGCACTTCGCCAACTTTTTTGCAAGGGATTTGCGAAGAAGTGTTATGTTAGAATTTCACATGGCACCGCATAGTGTTTTTACAAGGGAACCTCAGGGGGGGGAACCCGGTTGGCCTTGGTCATTGTGATTTCATATTTAGGATGGACATGTGGTCATAATCATATGTGATCTACATATCCGGAAGGGGTAGCGATAACTCTTGGCTGGGGGGGGGGGGGTAGAGTCTATTCTCCTTGAAAGGAGAATTGACTACCCTGCACCGCGCCTGACCACCTCCACTGCTCGCGCAAGCATCCCACCCACCCACCCGCAACTTGGTTTGCAAATTCTCTTCGTGGTGTAAGCTATGTGGTGCAGCTATGGTGCAGCTATGTAAGCTTCGTGGTGTTAGGTGGTACGACTTTCGTGGTGTCAGCTATGTGGTGCAATGGACTACTCTGCGCCGCGCTTGACCACCTCCACTGCTCGCGCAAGCATCCCACCCACCCACCCGCAACTTGGTTTGCAACATCTCTTGGGACCGTGGCGGTGGGTACCAAATGGCACTTGGCAACGACAGCGACGCCGACGACGACAGCGACAACGACGACGACGACGACGACGCCGCCGACAACGACCACGACGACACCGACGACGTCTCCAACGACTGCGACGACGCCGACAACGACGACGACGACGACGACGACACCGACGACGACGACGCCGACGCCGACGACGACGACGACGACGATGACAACGACGACGACGCCGCCGACAACGACTACGACGACACCGACGACGTCTCCAACGACTGCGACGACGCCGGCAACGACGATGACGACGACACCGACGACGACGACGCCGACGCCGACGACGACGACGACGACGATGACAACGACGACGACGATGACGACGCTGACGTCGACGACAACGACGACACCGACGACGACGACGACGACGACGTCAACGACGCCGACGACGACGACGACGACGACGACGACGACGACGACGGCGGCAACGACGACGACGCAAGAGCGCGCGCGCACGTTTTTGTTGAAAATCCGTGTTGCGAAACCTGGTGTTTTTGTATGTTTTTTGGACACGAGTTTGAAATCCTTCCGAAACCGATGGGTTTTGAAGGATTTCGGCATACGCGCGCGACGACGCGCGCGTCGGCACTTCGTCTCATTTTTTGCTGAGGATTCGCGCGACGGCACACGCGCAAGGGCGTTCGACAGATTTCGACATGCACTCGCGCGAAGCCCGTCTGGTAGTGTTTTGTGAAAATCTTGAAAAGCCGATGGTTGTCTTAAGATTTCGTGAGAGCTCGCGCGTAAGCTTTTTTAGCAAATCCGTGTTGCGAAACCCTGTGTTTTTTGTAAGTTTTTTTGGAAACTCGATTGCGAAATCCTTCCGGCACCGAACGTTTTTGAGGGATTTCGGCAA